CTGCTCTCAGTCTCACCTGTCTCTGGTTCTGATCTCAGTCTCACCTGTCTCATGTTCTGCTCTCAGTCTCACCTGTCTCATGTTCTGCTCTCAGTCTCACCTGTCTCTGGTTCTGATCTCAGTCTCACCTGTCTCATGTTCTGCTCTCAGTCTCACCTGTCTCATGTTCTGCTCTCAGTCTCACCTGTCTCTGGTTCTGATCTCAGTCTCACCTGTCTCATGTTCTGCTCTCAGTCTCACCTGTCTCATGTTCTGCTCTCAGTCTCACCTGTCTCTGGTTCTGATCTCAGTCTCACCTGTCTCATGTTCTGCTCTCAGTCTCACCTGTCTCATGTTCTGCTCTCAGTCTCACCTGTCTCTGGTTCTGATCTCAGTCTCACCTGTCTCATGTTCTGCTCTCAGTCTCACCTGTCTCTGGTTCTGATCTCAGTCTCACCTGTCTCTGGTTCTGATCTCAGTCTCACCTGGTTTTTGTTCTGATCTCAGTCTCACCTGTCTCATGTTCTGCTCTCAGTCTCACCTGTCTCATGTTCTGCTCTCAGTCTCACCTGTCTCTGGTTCTGATCTCAGTCTCACCTGTCTCATGTTCTGCTCTCAGTCTCACCTGTCTCATGTTCTGCTCTCAGTCTCACCTGTCTCTGGTTCTGGTCTCAGTCTCACCTGTCTCATNGTGTTTCATCCATCAGGTGTTTATCTGTCAGGTGATTCATCTGCCAGGTGTTTCATCCGTCAGGTGTTTATCTGTCAGGTGATTCATCTGCCAGGTGTTTCATCCATCAGGTGTTTATCTGTCAAATATTTTATCTGTCAGGTGATTCATCTGTCAGGTGTTTATCTGTCAAATATTTTATCTGCCAGGTGCTTCATCTGCCAGGTGTTTCATCTGCCAGGTGTTTATCTGTCAAATATTTTATCTGTCAGGTGTTTCATCTGCCAGATGTTTATCTGTCAAAAAATTTATCGGCCAGGTGTTTCATCTGTCAGGTCTTCATCTGTCAGGTGTTTATCTGGCAGGTGTTTTATCTGTCAAATATTTTATCTGTCAGGTGTTTAATAGGCCAGGTTTTTATCTGTCAAATATTTTATCTGCCAGGTGTTTCTTCTATCAGTTTTCTTCATCTGCCAGGTGTTTATCTGTCAAATGTTTTATCTGTCAGGTGTTTCATCTGCCAGGTGTTTCATCTGTCAAAAATTTTATCTGCCAGGTGTTTCATCTGTCAGGTCTTCATCTGTCAGGTGTTTATCTGCCAGGTGTTTTATCTGTCAAATATTTTATCTGCCAGGTGTTTCATCTGTCAGGTGTTTCATCTGTCAGGTGTTTTATCTATCAGGTGTTTATCTGTTATCTGTCAGGTGTTTTATTTGTCAGGTGTTTCATTTGTCAGGTATTTTATCTGTCAGGTGTTTTATCTGTTATCTGCCAGGTGTTTCATCTGTCAGGTGTTTTATCTGTCAGGTGTTTTATCTATCAGGTGTTTATCTGTTATCTGTCAGGTGTTTTATTTGTCAGGTGTTTCATTTGTCAGGTATTTTATCTGTCAGGTGTTTTATCTGTTATCTGCCAGGTGTTTCATCTGTCAGGTGTTTTATCTGTCAGGTGTTTATCTGTTGTCTGTCAGGTGTTTATCTGTCAGGTGTTTCATTTGTCAGGTGTTTATATGTCAGGTGTTTTATTCGTCAGGTGTTTAATTTGTCAGGTGTTTATATATCAGGTGTTTTATCTGTCAGGTGTTTATCTGTTGTCTGTCAGATGTTTATCTGTCTGGTGTTTTATCTTTCAGGTGTTTATCTGCCAGGTGTTTCATCTGTCAGGTTTTTTATCTGTCAGATATTTATCTGTTATCTGTCAGGTGTTTTATTTGTCAGGTGTTTCATTTGTCAGGTGTTTTATTTGTCAGGTATTTTATCTGTCAGGTGTTTTATCTGTCAGATGTTTTATCTGTTATCTGCCAGGTGTTTCATCTGTCAGGTGTTTTATTCGTCAGGTGTTTCTTTTGTCAGGTGTTTATATATCAGGTGTTTTATCTGTCAGGTGTTTATCTGTTGTCTGTCAGGTGTTTATCTGTCTGATGTTTTATCTGTCAGGTGTTTCATTTGTCAGGTGTTTATATGTCAGGTGTTTTATTTGTCAGGTGTTTATCTGCCAGGTGTTTCATCTGTCAGGTGTTTTATCTGTCAGGTGTTTTATCTGTCAGGTGTTTATCTGTTGTCTGTCAGGTGTTTATCTGTCTGATGTTTTATCTGTCAGGTGTTTCATTTGTCAGGTGTTTATATGTCAGGTGTTTTATCTGTCAGGTGTTTATCTGCCAGGTGTTTATCTGTTATCTGCCAGGTGTTTTATCTGTCAGGTGTTTATCTGTTATCTGTCAGGTGTTTATCTGTCACGTGTTTATCTGTCAGGTGTTTTATCTGTTATCTGTCAGGTGTTTATTTGTCAGGTGTTTTATCTGTTATCTGACAGGTGTTTCATCTGTCAGGTGTTTTATCTGTTATCTGA